CTCCATCGTCGTGAGGTTGAGTTGAACTGAAAAATTCTGAGCGCGATATCCTTCGTCATGAAGTTGAAACTGAACTCAAAGTTTTGGTAAGTAGCTTCTGGAACGTCTTCTAGCCCAAGACACTTCGTCATGAAGCTGAAACTTCACCTGAAGACTTCAGTGTTGATGTGTTACAGATGACTCCTCCGTCGTGAATTTGGGTTAATCTTTTGGGTACGATACCCTTCGTTGTGAAGTCGAAATCGTAGATGAATCGGAAAGTGGCTCTTTGCTGCCAATCTTGGTCGAACTTGGTATTCTTCTTAATTTAAAGACCTTGGTTTGAAAATTCAACTGGAAAATAGTTCCACCATGTGGTTGGTCCGCCATTGAGCTGAATGGAATTGAACTTGATAGTTTTTGTTGATAGATAGCTTTTCTCGACTTAAGCTATGCTGTAAATTTGATATGCCCTTGAGCTGAGTGGAATCGAATTCAAAGGTATTGACAGATAATCCTTCTCGACTTGAGTTATGTTGTAAATTTGATATGTCATTGAGCTGAATGTAAATCGAACTCGAAGGTCTTTGTGAACAGATAGCCCTTCTCGCCTTGAGTTATGCTGTAAATTTGATATGTCTTTGAGCTGAATGTAATCGAACTCAAAGGTCTTTGTTGACAGATAGCCCTTCTCGCCTTGAGCTATGTTGTAAATTTGATATGCCTTTGAGTTGAATGTAATCAAACTCGAGGGTCTTTACTGACATATAACACTTCTCGCATTGAGTTATATTGTAAATTTGATATGTCTTTGAGCTGAATGTAATCGAACTCGAAGGTCTTGGTTGACAGATAGCCCTTCTCACCTTGAGCTATGCTGTAATTGGATGGGAGATAACCCCAATTATTATAGATGACTCATTTGTTATGAAACTAAGTCAATCTACTTGGGCACGATATCCTTCGTCGTGAAGTTGAAATCGTGGATGGCTCCTTCGTTGTGAAGTTGAGCTTTGAATTGGATATCCTTCGTTATGAACTTAAAATCCAATCTTGCGTAAGTTGCATTGTTTTGAGTCCAATATCCTTCGCTGTGAAGTTGAAATTGGCTCCGAATGAAATTGGAAAGTTGTTTTCTGACAGACAACTTTTCTCGACTTAAACTGTGTTGTAAACCTCCTCTAAATGAAGGATAACCCCCTTTCACTGGCCTAAGCTGATCGTAAATCTTTAGATGACTCCCCTTCACGGGAAAGCCCAGTGATAAATGCTGTCAGCCGGATATCATCCGTCGTGGATTTGAAATCTGGCTTGAAAATGTTAACTGAAAACTGGCCGCTCGTTGTTGAGTTAAGCTGAACTGGATCCGTTCTGAATTGGTTCTCGAACCTGTCTGAATTTGATTCTAAGATCTTTCGGTCTCTCAACAGTTCAAATTGGTTGAGGTGTAGCTCCTCGCTGCTGAGTTAAGCAACCACCATCAATCTCTAAAAAAGCTTTTGAATCGAGTATCTTTCGTTATGAAGTCGAAACTTGACTCTAAAAGATACAAAAATTATGCATGTGTAAAATGATAAATGTGATGCTCTTAAGTATGTCTAAGATGCATGCAATATGAATTAGTTTTATTTTATCTCTTGGATGGAGTCTCGTGCTTTGTCTGCCGATCAGGTCCTTGGAATTGATCATGCCCCATTTTCTTCTTGGGTTGCAACCTTTCACATTTGAGATTGTCCTGTTTGAAAATGTTTTTCCCTTTTCTCTTATTTTAGGAGGGAAAATAAAGGATATGAAAATATAAGAATTCTGTAAAACATTGCCCTTTAATTCAGGCTCGCAATCGAATCAAATCATAAACATGAGTTCACAAAAAATCAAAAGAATCAATAGCTCTTTAATGCTTTCAAAGTTGTAGCTCTTTGACAAATGTCCAAGTTGATGTGTTGGTTCATGTTGGCCTCCTATTTTCTAAGGTTTTGACCACCAAAATGTCGCAACATGCCCCTTTTTTCTTGGCTTGGTGTTTTAATCGGATGCGGACAAAATATCGCAACTAGCATAATTAATTACTAGACCTTCTATTTCGATTCTCTGAAATCTTTCATTTGTTCAAGTTTTGTAGGCTTCTCTAATAAGGCAGTGCAAAAATATCCGTCTAAAAATGAAATTCTTAAGTGCTCGTGTGAAATTGACTATAACAGGGATTCCTTAACTCGCTTAGTCCATCATTACCGAAAATATCTTATTTAGATAAATTTGGTTTAATTTTCCATTATCTGGCTAGCCAAATCCATAAAGTCAGGGTGTTTAACCAATTGCTTTAGAGGGACAACTTAATAATATAATCATTTTTATCAGGTTAACTGAAGGGTTCATCTCATCACAAAGTCTTCGACCTGACAATATTAGTGGAGCAAACACCGAGTTGCCAAGTGTCTGAGCAATGTCATAGTTTGAACGCAATCTATTCATAAAGCTAAGGCTTTCGAGTTTCCTCTATAACCAATTGCCTTAGTGGAATAGCTCAGCTTGTAAGGATTTAATTTCTTAAGATTGTCAAGAAGAACATGTTATAGTCTAGGTGTTTGTTGAAGGTCAAAAATTTTATCTTTAGAGTTCAATTTCCAAGCAACTGTCCTAAACTAGATTCACTTACTCGACTATTCCATCTGTAAAGATCATCATCATCATTGAACAACTTCAACAAAAGTATAATAATGCCATATGCAAAAGATGCCCCATATTGTCTGCTCCTATGCATATCTAAATACCAAGCCTCTTGTTTATGGTGTTTGAGCGTATCTTTCTGAGGTAAGGCCAAAGTCCTTTGTTTTATCAATTTTAATCGTTTTACTCTGTCAAAGATCTATAACTCCAATCATTTACAGAGTTTTTAATTCGGTTGATATTCAAAGAATTTCAAGTCTGCAAATTTAATTCATTGCTCATCGTCTTTAAAGTAACATAAAAATATCCTTACAAAAAACTTAAGAAAAGATGAAAAATAAATTCAAACCGAATGCTGCAAATGATGAAATGATCTTCCTCCTCACTTGGATGCCCCCGAGTTGTTGAAGTCGATCCAGTTCTTGTTGCGCATCTTCTGCACGATTCTCTTGAATGCGTAACAGTTCTCAATAGTGTGCCCTGGGACACCGCCATGATATTCGCAATGAGCATTCTCATCATATCACTTGGGGTATGGGGGTTTCATGGGTTCCATTGGATATGGTGACACTACGTGAGTGTCAAAAAGTTGTTGGTAAAGCTCTTTGTAGGTCATGAGAATAGGGTCGGAATGTTTCTTTTCCTTCTTAGGTTCTCTGGAATCTTAACTAAAAGTACATGACGGTACAACTGCAGTTGATTTTCTTTTGGAGATTATAACACCTTTATTAGTGTTGTAGGTGCTCAGGTTGTTAATCTCTCTATTCCTCTCTTTCATAGGAGGTTTCTTACTTGTCTCCCCTTCTTCAATCTTGCCTTGCTTTATGGTAGTTTCTACCATCTCCCCGGCCATAACTAAGTCCAAAAAATTACTGGATATGATTGCAACTAGGTTTAAAGTAAGGAGCCTTTAGTGTTTGTATGAAGAGCTTCTGGGTTTCTTTCTCATTCAAGAGTAGATGCACTTACACAGCCAAATCCCTCTACTTCTGTGCATATTGTCTGAAACTTTTGTTATGCTTCTTTTTCATGCTTTGTAGCATAACTCGATTTGACCTTGTGTCATTGACGTGTTTGTATTGTTCCAGAAATGACTTGGCTAAATCTTTCCAAGTCTTGATATTAGACCGACTTAGCTGATTGTACCACCGGATGGCTGAGCCTGACAGACTCTTTTGGAAGCAATGGATTAGGAGTTGGTCGTTTTCTACATATCCTGTCATCTTTCGGCATAACATGGTGATGTGGGCGGATGAGCAACTATTTCCATCGAACTTCTCGAATTCTGGGGACTTGAATTTCAGAGGAAGAACCAAGTCTGGGATTAGACTGAGTTCCGTGGCATCGACTCTATGGTAGTCATGGTCTCTTTAACTACCTTCATTTAGTCCTTCAATTGCTTGATTTTCTCCTCCATCTTCTTTACTTTGTCCTCTTTGTCCAAATCCGATATATGGTAATAACCCGACTTGTTCTCAGGGTTAGATACAACATTCTGTATCTTTGTAGCAGATAGGATCTTCATTTTTGTAGCGGATGAGTCCCCTTGAAGTTCTGGTAAGATTCCAGGTGAGACAACCACTTGCGAGTAGGTGTCATAGTTACCCCTTCCGATGAACCTTCCCCAGGTGCACTTGTCTGACGTAGACCAGCTAGCTTGGCAACAATGTAATCGACCAAGGACTCTTGGTTCTTCGTGATTATATCCAGAGTACTCAGATTGCTCTGGTTTATCTTATCTTCTAGCTTTCGCTGTAACTTCAACATATTTTCCTCAAGTTGAGTGATTTTTGCTTCCATCTTTTTCTTTTTTGAACGGGTGTTATGTGGATGGGGTGTGTCCAATGCTTGAGTTGGTATCTCCAGTATTTGTTCCCTTTTTTATGAGACATTCTTCTATTAGTTAATGCGAATGTAAAGAAATGAAAATAACAAAAATGAAAAATATGTCTAAATGCATGATGCATGCAATGTTCGAGGCATTGATCCAAAAATGTGTCTGTTATTATAAATAATCATTTATTGGGGAAAAAGTGTTATTTCTTAAGAGACAAAAAACCACTATGTCTTCTAGATCCTGAATAGCTTCTGACATGTTGACTAGTCTTTTGTCTTCGTTTGTCATCGGTTGAATACCATGTCTAACCGCTCCGGCTTCTCTGGCTAAACCGTGCAGGTGATGAGTTACTTTTTGCACTTGTCCCAAGAAGTCTCGAATGGTTGCATCTCTGGTTTTTAACTCTCTACTAAGTCTGTTCTTTAACGAAAACGCCAACGAAATCCTCCATCAAAGGGATTATCTAAAGTTAATTTGATTGTTTCTTGAATTTGTTAACAATGGCTTCCAATTTCAGCTATCGCTTTGTCATCCTGTTCTTGTTGTCCTTAAAGGGACTCTTCAGGTCAGTAACATTTTCCTCGTCTTGCCCCTGTAAATTTTGACAACTTAAAAGGTCGACTTTTGATGTACTCGGTGTAGATCTCGGTCTGTTCTGAGTCATTTACAACATAGCAGAGTGACATTTTTTGTGGATCAACACATCTTTTGAATGATGCAAATGATGAAAATAAAATAAAAGAAAACAAAAAATGAAAAGAGTTAGTGAGGTAAGGATAATAATCAAAACAATAATAAAAAATAAAAGCCCTACCCCACATGATATCTACCCCACATGCTTATTATTCTTACCCGGACATGATCTCTATCCCACATGTTAATTTTGAACCAGTCCTAACCGCATAAATTTCTAGTTCACATGCTTTGAACATGAAGTAAAGCAGGAAATAATCTCAAAGTAGCCTAGGGTTTCAAATGAGGTTTTGGGGTGGGCACTAATTCCCTGCAGTCTCCCGATTTAGGTTCTAAAAAAAGGTATCTGAGTTCTCCTTGCTGGCTCCCCCTTGGGCTTGCCAGACCCTTAGTCCTAAGCCCATTACAAGCTTATGTGGACTAAGTTAAACTCGAGAGGATACATTCACTTATGCCCGCACGGTGAATAAATTCACACGAATACATAAGGTATATAAATCCTGAATGTTACTTGCTAGGCCTATGCAGAGAATAAATTCTCACGAAGGCGTCACTTTCACCCCCACTTAAAAACAGGTTTGTAGCTCGAGTTTAGAGCCTTAGGTGGAGAAGGGTTTGGTAAACTGAAACCATTGAAAGAAATCGTCAGTACAACTATTTATTTGAAAAAATAATCAAAAATAAATAATAAGGATAGAAAAAATTACCTTAAAATTTAAACTTACCTTTTTCATTAAAAAGACAATTGAAAATTAACATTAGCCTGACTCACTTACTTTCCCCAGTGGAGCCAAGCTGTCGGAACCGTCTTTTCGGGTGGGCCCAGAATTGAGCTTCGACGTGAATAAACGGGTTAGAGCCTTCACCGATCATTTATTTTAGGAATAAAAGTAGGTAGATCAGACACCTTAATTTCTTACTCGATCTGCATCTTACTAAAGATATGTCGGATTCGGGAGTCGGTTACAATCAATGAAGGATTAGTACCCTTGAATTGCCCTTTCGGTACTAATTAATTTATCAGTTGTCTTTAATTAAGAAAATTGTAATTTAAATTGAAAGATAAAAGTTCGATCCGAACTACTCACCTTTGATAAATTTAAAAGTGTACCCTAAAAAAAGTCAGATTTTTTTTTAACTAAAGTAAAATGCATAATCAAAAGGACAATAACTATAAAAATATAACGAAATATAAAATAAATAAATACAAAATATAAAAAATAAAAACCAAATAAGTTAACTAAATTACGGAAACAAATCAAATGAAATAAAGAAATAAAAAGAAGATAAAAAATAATAAATAATAATAATAATAATAATGAAAAAAATAAAAATAAAAATATATATAACTATTAGGTACAAAAAAGAAAATAATAATAATAATAATAAATATTAGAGAAATAATAAAAAAAAATAAAGAAACACACCTAATCCTACTACCATCACTTCACCAAAAAAAGGGGAACAATTCGATCAGAGATAGAACGTAGGAAGAAAAGAAGGGGAGATGGCCTAGGAGGCAATCATGACAAATGTTAGGTAACATATATATATATATATATATAATATTGTAGACATGTCATTTCGTCCCCAACTTGTGTCATACGATTTATTATATATTATATTTATTTATCTTTTGTTTTTTTACATGCTTTATAACAGGTCCCATGTTACAACAAGTGCTAAGCCCAATACACAAGCATGTTTACAAAAGAGGTAGCCCAATTGTTCAAGACCCGAACCGAATTCCAGGAGCCCGAACCAGCTAGGGTTTTTAACCCTAGCTTTATACCCCCGAAGACTTCTCGGCGTCGTTTCTCATCCAGCTTGGTTAAACCGTCGCTTCTCACACAACCAACACCGAACTCCTCGGCACCACGGCGACGTGTGAACACCAGCAAAGCCAACAAAGCATGCAACCATTAGACTCTCAACAAACCGAGAGTTTTACTCGGAATAGGATTCTAAAAATAGAGTTTTTTTTCGGTATAAATAAACATGTAACTACACGATTTAGGGATCACTAGGAATTTTGTACAGGAAAAATCACGAAAAATAAGTGAATCGCAAGAGATTATCAAAGCAATTTTGTACAAGTTCCGAAAGAAATAAAAGGTAGATTTTTTTACCTCGTGTAGTTTACCCTTGCATGTTGTATTTTGTTAAAACCCGATTGTCGATGACCAAAATGGGGGTGTTCAAAATGTTCTTTTCTAGATCTACACCTCCCCGAGGCACTTTTTTAAAAAAACGAGCTTGATATTCGAGTACAGGGAGAGGAAAGCTTTCATAAAAGTGAAATCTTTTTATGTTTCGCCGTCGATGAACGGCGGCCGGCGCCGATCAACGGTGACCGACGAGGCGACGCTTGGTCAGAAATTGGGTTTGTTCTTAAACCCCGGTCGTGTTCTTCGTTTGGTCGAAGAACAATTGAGAGAAAAATGTAAAATGGAGTTTGATCCATTTGAGGGGGAAATTAATTATGAAAATCTGTTTCAAGCTTTGGGCTTTACACATGACCCACGACGCGACCCGATGACTCGATCGAATCCCATAAGGGATCCGCGTGTTTTTGAGAAAAATGGGTAAATCACCCTTTCGGTCCCTCGTCATTTTTAAGGGTCTATTTTGACCCCCAAATCAAATTTCCCCGTGATTTTTCTTCTAAATTTAATACCCAACTCGTCTGCTTTCAATTTGGTCTATTCCCATGTTAATTTCTTTTTTATTTAAATATTATATTATATGTAATTATGTATATATATTTATATTATTATTATTATTATTATTATTATTATTATTATTATTATTTCTCTATTATTATTAATGCATAAATTATTTTCTTTCTTATTAATTACTATTATTATATATATATTTTATCTGTTTTGTTTTATTTATTTTTTTTTCTTTACCTAACATTTTTGTTTATATTTATATTTATATTTATATTTTTATTTTTTCTTATCATCATTTTTTCCTTTTTTTATTTTAATACGTTATGTATGTTTTAGTTTTTTTATTTCTACTCTTTTTTCACTATTTATTTATTTATTTTCAATTTGTATTTTATTTATTTATTTATTTTTTTACTTTTACTTATTAATTATTATATATATATATATTTGTCTTACATAACCTTCATTATTATTATATGTTTGGCCCCACTTTAATTTCTTCTTTTCCTCTTTCTACACGGGCTTTTCTCATTTGTTTTGAGGAAATGATGGTGGAGTGATTAGGGTAGGTGGGGAGATTTGAATTAGATGCATTTTTTAATTATTTTTTTATTATCACTATTATTATTTTACTTAACTTTTTATATATGTATATTTTATTTATTTATTATTATTATTATTTTTTGTTGTTGTGTTATTATTATTATTTTTTCCTTTTTTTATTTTATTTGATTTGTTTCCTTAATTTAGTTACCTTATTTGGTCTTTACTCTTTTTTATTTTGTATTTATTTTCTTTTTTTTATTTCGGGACATTTTGTATAGTTATTATCTTTTTTGATTCCGTATTTTACTTTAGCTAACATTTTTCGACTTTTTTAAAGGTACACTTTTAAAACTATCGGAGGTAAGTGATTCAGATCGTTATTTTAACTTTCAATTTAAACTTTCAATTTTCTTAATTAAAGACAACTGGAAACTACGTAGTACCGAAAGGGCAGTTCAAGGGTGCTAACCCTTCATTGAGTGTAACTGACTCCCGAATCTGACACATCTTTGGTAAGACGCGGATCAGGTAAGAAATAAGATATCCGATCAACCTGTTTTATTCTTAAAATAAATTATAGGTGGCGACTCCTAATCCATTTTCCTAAGTTGAAGCCCAATTCCGGGTCTAACCAAAAGACGTTTCCGACAGCTTGACAACTCCGCTAGGGACAGGTAAGTGAGTCAGGCTAAGGTAATTTTTAGTTGTCTTTTTAATGAAAAGGGTAAGTTTAAATTTTAAGGTAATTTTTCAATCCTTATTATTTACTTTTGTTTGCGTTTTTCAAATAAATAGTTGTACTGACGGTCTCTTTTCAGTGATTTTAGCCCTTAAAGTTTTTTCACCTAAGGCTCTAAACTCGAGCTTCGAACCCGTTTTTTTAAGTGGGGTGAAAGTGACACTCTCGTGAGAATTTATTCTCCGTATGGGCATAAGGGAATGTTTCCTCTCGAGTTTAACTTAGTCCACATAAGATTGTAATGGGCTTAGGACTAAGGGTCTGACAAACCCAATGGGGCACCAGCAAGGAGAACTCATGTACCTTTTTTAGAACATAATCTGAGAGACTATGGAGAATTAGAGCCTACCCCAAAACCTCATTTCAAACCCTAGGCTGCTTTGATATTATTTCTTGCTTTATTTCTTGCTTTATTTCCTGTTCAAAGCATGCGAACTAGAAATTTATACAATTAGGATTTGTTCAAAATCAACTTGTGGGATATATATCATGTGGGGTAGGATTTTTATTTCCATCATTGTTTTGATTATTATCTTTACCTCACTAACTCTTCTCATTTTTGTTCTCTTTTATTATATTTTCATCATTTGCGTCATTTAAAAGAGGTGTTGATCCACAAAAAATGTGTTTGTTAAACGTAAATAGTATGCATTAATGGATAAATGAGTTATAATACAAGAGATGAAAAGCTCAAAAGTCCAACTATGGTCAGAGAATACTCAGAATGGACCGGGATTTACACCGAACACACTAAAAATCAACTTTTTGAGTCGACAAATGTTGCAGGGGCAAGACAATAAAAGGTTGTTTATCTGGAGAGTCCTTTCAAAGACAACAAGAACAAGATGGAAAAACATTAGCTGAAATTGGAGGCCATTGTTGACAAATTCAAGAAGTAAGATTCGGATAGTTCCCATCGATGGAGGGCTCCAGTGACAC